GGGCACCATTGCTGGGAAGCTTTGTGACTATTCGTGGTACATGGTGCAAATGTCAATGTTATTTGCCTAATTAAACCTATCCGTAAGGCAAATGGTTCATCCGGTACAGACCAGCGGCTTACACAGGAAAGTTGTTAGGTGCCTGTTTATGCACTACAAAACCAGAAACTATTCTGGCAATGCCTACAATTTAAAATTCCATTCACTTATTAAACATAATGCAATGACATGACAACAGCCATAAAGACAGTCCTTACATGGATGTTTCTTATAAAAGTATAATACTTCTATTTTAGTTACTGCTTGATAATACACAGGTAGTCCCCAACTTTTATACATCCAGCCACTTACATATTTAAGTGGTAAGAACTCTTTAGCACTGGGCACCAGCCTTTTTCTCTGTACTTGTATTAATACCTTCACTTTCACACTCAGACCAATACAGTGGACCAAACCTGCCTGTTTGCCTAGTACAGCAGTTAAAAGCATTAAAAACGTCACTCAATAATCAAACAAGTCCCTTACACCGTAAGAGCCATCTACTTACTAGATTTCAAGAAAACTTAGCAAACACACATATGGATATGATAGCAACATGCGACACTGCCAAAATAGAGGCAATCGGGCACATTTACAGATAGCAGATAAAGGAAAAGGGCAGCCTAAGAGTGCAGTGTGATCTAAGAGGATTTCCTTGTTGATTCAACTAAGAGCTACCCACCCACCATTATGCACAGTGAGGCATGAGGCCATCCTTCCTGACTAAAATTAGATTCCCTCCCATTAAGAGGTAATAGCCAAAGGACTTGGGGCAGGTACTCCCTCAGGACGACTTGCAGGCCTTGCGAACAAGGAACAGGTATGGACTGAATGACTCATTGCCAGCTAGGCCTCCTAAGAGGGATCTGAAGCCACTGTCTGGGTGAAGGGGAGGGATGCTATGTGGCTTTGCTCCAGACTCCTTTTGCCTTGAAGGAATGGAAGCTGCAAGCGACTCTCCCTGGTGCTTGGCCTGCAGTGTGAGTTACAAAGGCATAGGACAGCCAAGTGAACAGCTTGTAAGTTTGCTTTTCAGTTTAATATAGCCTCATGTAATAAATGTCTTTTTCCATCTGGCTCAATTTCATGTATTCTTTCTCATCTGAGTTTTTGAGTTCCATGTGGCCCAACCACTTAGGAATGCTACCAAGGGTTTAGAACTGCGCTTCAGAAAACTGGGCAGAAGTAGATGAAGTCCCGGCTAGGACGGAGCAATGTCAGATTGGCCATTCCCACTTGGGTAGTAGAGACAAAGATGAAGGTCCCTTGAAGCCTTTCCTTTCCAGGCTATCCAACAACAGAAGCTTCTGACATGAATCCCCATTGTCTAAGTACCTCAGTGGCTGTTCTCCCAGCCTGCCTAGGACACAGGCAAATACTAACAACTGTCTGCAAAACAACACGTATAGCAGGTTTGGAAGACACCCTATACCTCCCCTAATGAGCTCCAAACCTTCCATAATGTGTCCACAGGCTGTACTTTACATGCCTAACCCCCACTCAGAGGCTGTCACGTTATGCATGGATCATGCATGGGTTAAACAAGAAAGACCACGGGTTATGTGAGGGGTGTTTAAGCCTCTTATAACCCAAGCTTGCCAGGTTTGCTCAGCATCACTGAATAGGGTTTGCACAGTTAAAATGGCAGCCACACATACTCCTAAAAATAAGATAAACTACATTGTGCAAAGATAACAATTTGGAAGTGGCTTGTAGAAGAATTGCCATTCTTTACAAATATTTGGACGATACAAAAGAAGCCTTGATTGAATTAAGCTATGACCTAAGATGTTTTCCTTTGTTTTTCTCCCAGCCCCTGGTAATCCTGACCAACCCTTTCTGTTTCTTTTCCTGGCTGCTCACTGACCAGATTAACACAGTGGCATCTGTTTGCATGACGAAAGGGACACTTAGGGCCTGGGTTTCCTTTCAAACCATGGCTTTAAATTTATACACTGTATACTTCTTTTCTCCAGCAACCAAGTCATCATTATCTAATGTTACTTTTTCAATTCAGAGAAATTGCATTTACCATGAGTTCTTCCATTTTATACTAAAAGGTTAGAGATTAACCTTTTAATTAAAGAATTACATCCTAAACCCTTAGCATGAACTTTTAATTCAATAGGTTAATTTTAAAGACAAAATAGTAGCATTTTGGTAAATTGCAAAGTAGTACTTTGGGGCATGGACTGCACATACAATTCAGATTATTTAAATTCAGATTTGATTATAGGTTTAATTATGCATTCTATTACTTTATAAATTATTTTTAAAAGACAGAATCAAATATTCCCTTTATAAGGGAAAAGCAACTGCTGACCACATTATCAAAACAGAATCGGACTAGGCTTAAACACAGTCTTATGTTCACGGCCCTCCAAAGCAGCAGAGATGTGGCAGGGTAAGACTATTAAGATATCTTGGATCTGGGGATTTGGTTGGGAGGCATCACGAGCCACTAACTGAATTAATTCAATCCATTCTATTTGCTACCAGAACATTTCTGCCTATTATGTTGCTATAAATGCAGCAGAATTTACAAGTGTTATCAACAGGGAAACCCGTGTCTATAGATAAGAAACTGCTTTTCTTCAGCATCACAGCTGAAGTAAATTATGAAATTATTTGTCTTACAATTTTTAAACACTTCAACAGAGCCAGCATTTGATTTTGGTTGACTGCAATGGCTGGCTGGCACTTGATGAAACACTGCCCTCCAGAGGTTATTCCATGGGGAGGAGGTCCCAAGAAGGAAACTTATATTTTACACCTGAAGCAGGTATGCTTTTATTACCTCTTGATTTACTTTCAAGCCTGGCTCATTTCTAACCGCACTGGCTCCTCTCCGGATGGAATCCACTGAAATCCTGCCCAGAAGCCCTATTCTTCCTCCCCTCTGCAGCCCCTTGTGTTCTTTCCGTACCTGCTCTGCAGGTCTGTGAGAGTACCTAGAACAGATCTGGGGGCTGCAGATAGGAAGAAAGCAGTGCTGTATGCGCAGGCTTCCATTCATGCAACGCTGCAGGAGGTCTTCCCCTCCTCACCACTACAAGCTGCTACATGAAGTTCACTCACTTGTTCCTTGAAAAGAGAAGCGCTTTTCAACAATTCCCCAGGGAAACAGAAAACTATCAGAGCAGCAATTATCTAAATAAACATGCTGTCTTTAAAGGGTTCAGGACCACATTTTTTGAGTTCCAAGGGAACTGACTGGAGAGGTCTATTTACAAGGAGCTATGAAGAAAGTAAAAAATAAGCCACTGAAGTGTTAAATGGAGGTGGGTGAGATCTAAGAACAGCGTTTCTAGCATCAGCCCCCAGCCCCATCTTAAGCCAACATTCTGTTCACAAGTGGTCAGCCAGATGCCCCTAGAAACTCATCAACAGGGAACTAAAGGTCAATGGAAGCACAAAATACAAAGCCAATAGGCTGCTAAACACCAGGTGACAAGGACAGGCAAGGAAAGGCCACCCTATCCTGCCTGTGAGCTTCTAGAGGAGAGCTGGCCTGATCAAACAAGGCAATAGTGATCATCAGAAAAATTAACAAAAGAAAGCAAGTGGCGTTTCATCTTAATTTTCTATTTAAGCAACCCTTTTAACACCCCAAATTAGTAGATTTAACTTTAAACATGGGAGGTAACTGACAATCATCTTATTACAATAAAATCTGAAGCTAATGATTAGGAAAGAAGAGCAACACCATAACTGAACTTTTGTTCAACTACCAGAATCAGAGCTCCCTCTTGTGGAACAAGGATTAGCTGGCTACAACGCAACTGTGAACTCCAAGGAGATCAAAGAGAGACTTAACAGGAAAATAAAATCTGTACTTTGCCAACTTCCCAGTAATTCCAATTCAATCTTGACAGCTGTGCCCCCCCCAAAAAAAACCTACAAACAAACCAACCAACCCCAAAAACAAAAACAACACCTGAAGATGTATCCCTTTCAAATTATTTTCTTTGCAATTATAAGCAGGAAATGCAAGGCTGAAACAACTTTGGATACAGCTTTAACCTGCAAGGGTGGCCTGTCAATTTAATAACAGAAAGTGTATGACGTGGTCAAGCCATCCCTGCCTCCATCGAACGCTCGCCTGTCACTGTGTGAAATGCTCTGAGTGCCCTAAACTGCAAGAACCCCAACCTAAATTGCGGCTGGCAGAACGAAGGCACCGCTCTTCTCAAGCAGGACCCCAGCATCAGTACTACCCTATTATACCTGTTACCCATCACCACTCTGCCAAACTGGGGGACAGGAACCTTGGCTTGGAGAAGCAGAGTGGAAGACATGAGGAGGGGGCTCCCGTGATCACAGTCAAGGCCGAACAGGCTTCTCTCCTGGTGGGAAACGTTACTGTCAAAGTTGACCTACAATTCACATTATCCCTACGGAAAACGTTGCACAGAGTATTGCTTCTCAACACACCTTCACTATCAGTGTTGGATGCCCCTTAGCCATACCAGCTCCTGAGCTTGCACAACAAGGCAGAAAACCAAGAATCTATGATTTTTAGGAGCCTTACTGGCTAAGCCGAAAACTGCAGCTGTTGGCTCCTCCTCCACCTTGGCAAGCCCCACTCCATTTCCCTTCCCAACAGGGAGCAGAGGCATTCCCAATTAGCTAGCCTAGCCCTGCTTGGAAGAGCCTCAAGTACCTCATACCACTATCACTCAAAGTATAAGAGAAAAGCTCTTACTCGGAACAAAGCCACATTTCCTTGAAGTTCTTGAATTGAATCCATGATGTTTGTAGATCTTAAGACACTACTTAGCCCTATAGCTTATTCATGTATACCAAGGGTAGAGAAAATAGGACCTTCTAAATATCATTGGACTCCAAATCCCATCAGGCCCAGTCAGAACGGATGACAGGAGCTGCAGTCCTATAGCATCTGGCAGCCCACAAGTTCTGCCTGCACCCATGTACACAATACAGTCATTTGTTTAGCCTACCTGCGGATTCCAGGAGGGATCCAGTTTCTTCACGGCAGCAACATATTCTCGCATAGCCTGTTCAGGACTTGTATCACCCAGTGCTTTCCAAGTTTCCCTGAGACACAGGTGGGAGAGAAGAACCACGACTTAGTGGAGGGTCACGTAACTGCCCACCTCCAATTTAGCACATTCTTTCCTGATATCAGTTTTCTGATTAAGGTGGAATAGGTGTGTTCTCATATGTAAGTGCTCTGAAATCTTTCCCAGTGGCAGCTTACCTCCACTCCTCCAGAGGGCCCTCAAGATGCATTATAAGGTGTCCTGACTTCATGGAAGCTTGATGAGAGATACAGAAACACAGTACATGGCCACTTCTCGTTTCCCAGGCAAGAATTTTCACAGCAACCTCCTAAGTTGCTCTTTAAACTCAAGCAAGTTGAAAAAGCATTTTGTGGTTCCAAAGAGAGTTGCTGCTGACCTCTCAACTTGCGTGTGTGCGTGGGGGTTAATGTCTATAACAAGCTTATCTCCTCACTCTGAATAAAAAATAGTGAAGGCAGTTAGATGAGTATTTCACCATGGAACCAGCTCCTGATTTAATGCTACTTTAGCACGATCACTTAATTGACAAGAAACATTTGGTCAACTGACCAATCAAATACGGACCCATTAATGGTCACGCACAATAAAGCTTGAAAGTACTGCAACTATAACCACAAGACAGACATGCTAAATGAAAATGTTCCTGTTGCTACAAAGCAACCCTAAACATTTTTGTGATTTATTACAGTTAACTATATGATAGTTATATCCTATAATGAAAGCCACTATGACATGGTTGCTAGAATGCTGGAGTTGGGAACTGGGAAATCTGGGTTCTAATCCCTACTTGCCTATGAAGCTCACTGGGCGACCTTGGGCCAAAACAGGGGCTGCTGTTGTGAGGATAAAATGGAGAGGAGAACCTTCTGTGATGCCCTGGGTGCCACACAAGAGGAAGAAAGATGGGATACAAATATAATTTAATAAGAACAGTGATAATATTTTACCATGCCATCTTGCTATATTACAAGAGGAAGTCAAAGATGTTCAAGGGCACAATCCTGACGCTCTCTGAGAGGCTGCAGGACTATCCAGGGCCCCAGTTGTGAGGCTGCGGGCAGCACAGAAATAACTGCACCGGCTGCCACCTTAAGGTAACAAATGAACCTTGGAGGGGAGCAAAAGGGCCAGGCTGCAGAGAGGAGAAAGGAGGACACCAGGGCCAAGGATTTATATCTGTTGGCAACCTGGCCTCCTTCCTTCCCCTTCCCCAGTACCTTATCTAGGTGGTCAGTGGCCAGAAGACCAACAGTGCACTAACAGACAAAGAGAAGACCTCAGTCTTCGCTGTTTAAAAAAACCAAAAAACAAACAGATACACACAGAGAAAGACGAACGGCAGACAGGACCGAAAAAGCAAACAGAGTAACATGCTTCAGCTTATAATTCTTCTTGCCACAAAGACTTAAGGGATTTCAAAATTTTAGAATGGTGGGGGAGAAATGAACAAAAACTGGGAAACCAACAGACAATCAGTAGAAAGGGACTGTGATTGAGAGAGGAGGAGAGGTGGTTTTCTGGGAAACACACAAACTGTCTGCTTTCAATAAATTCTAAAGGATTTGAAGGACTCCTAAGTATCAAGACATTATTGAGCCTTTCCACTTACCATTTCTGTTTTCCTTCAAAATCAAAAAATCCAGGTTTGGGAGTGTTGCAACTACCACATTTGACCTAAAAAATATATAAAATGAGGTAGTGTCAGAGTAAATCATGACTATGTCTTATGTATTTGCTGATTCAACCCGGGTAACAATATAATTTCCCCCTAAGTCTCAATTTTAACATAAGTATAAAAAACATTTGCTGGATCAAAGCCCATTTAGCCAACCCGTCTCCAGCCAGATGTTGCTGGAAGTTTACAGCTGAGCATGATAGTCATGGATATTCAACTGCTCCCTAGTATTTCCTACTCAGCTAGCACTAAATACTTCTGGTTCCACTGATGGTTCCACTGATTCCATCAAAGTCCCATTGATGTTCATTGATAATGACACTATGGACATAAGAAAACCATTTCTTTTTGTGGACCTTTCACTTTTCTTGTAAACTATAAGATAAACAAAATAAGAAGAAAAAGACAAGCCCATAACAGAGCATGTCTTCATCATCTGAATTCCCTTTGGATACAGCACTCTCTGAACCAGTTCACACAACACGCCAAGTTTGCAAATCGGAGAAGTGTGTGAGAAGCATGCCCCTGCGTGCACCTCCTTTCCTGATGCTTCATTCTTCCCTTCATGTGAGCAGAAAAGCAAGCCAGGACCAAGCATTTAAGCACAGCTTCCTAGTACATGTGCATTTGGAACCACGGTTGAAACTATGGTTTCAAAACAAATCAGGAATCTTAAATCAATTCCAAATCCTGTTTTGAAATTAGATTGTTGGTGCTCAGCTGGGGGGCGAGGGAGCTGGGGCTGGGAACACAGCTGCCATGGCACAAGGATTTCCAAAACACACATACGGAGAGCCATTTTTAAAAAGGTCATTACTGGGAATGGCGGACTAATTCTGGAATGAGGGTCTCTAGATTTACCCTGCCTCTTGATACCTACCCGCACCTCCCACAAGCCTTAGCCAGGAGCGCAGTGCTGCTCAAAAGTGGTCCCACAGCTGGAACAGAGAAAGCCAGTGTTCCCCAGAGGGCAGAGGCAGATGTCCCTCAGAAAATGTCACCTTCCTGGCTGGGCTTGCAAAAGGTAGGGGAGGGCTCTTAGCCAGTTGGGCAAGTCCCAGCAGCAGCTGCAAAGCAGGGCAGCAGCTCTTTATGGGGGGGGGGGGGGCACCCCAGAGAGGGAAAAGGTGAGAAGGCAGAAAAATGAAACCTAACTAAAAAGGGGAACCCACCTCACATTCTACCCACCAAACCCAAAGCGGCAGCACAGGGCCACTGACAGGGAAGCCCCAAAGATGCTGGCATGATGGAAAGGCTCACAAGGGCTTTCCCTCCAAGCTGACAATGGTTCAGCTGCCAAATTCTCTGCCAGGCTGCAGTGGCCCTTCCCTTCCTCACAGTTTACTTGCAGCTCAGACTTGATCCCTGTTAAGGTTCTTCTTGATGGCATCCTTAGAACTGGGCATACATCATTTTGCTTTACAGGGAGGCACTTTCTGGCACCTAGAAGATGGAGACAAGCTCCTCCTTTTTCCTCCCTTTGGTTTCACAGGTAGCATCATGGAGGGCAGCAGTCACAGTCAGGCACCATCTTGATGAAGTGCAGGTACGAGTCAGGTTTAAAGATATCTTTAGCAAAAGAACTAAATTTAGTGTACAATGATATTATTTTTAGAAGAGAGTTCATGCAGCCCAGCCTATAGGGTATAAAGCCTACTAAAGCTAAAACACTAGGACCTAATAGAATCAGCATCTAACCTTTCAGAGAAAAAATTACTTGCAAATTAGAGTTCATTTCACTTTCCCAGTCAACAAAATTCACCTATTACCTTATCAATCCATGTGAGGCTGGAACATTTATAGCTAGCTAAAGGCTGCAAGACCTCAGTAAAGTACATCTTCATTACTTTGATCCCTTATGAAAATATTTTTTAAACAATTCAGGAATTCTTCCCTTCTTAAGTCTGTTCACCTAATCACAGAGCAGTGATTTAAATGGCCTCCAGTGAATGGCTATAAACACTCAGGCAAGTATTTATCTACTTAAGTAGTTTAAGATAAATAGCACAGCACTCAGCTTTTACTGTCACCTTTTTACAGGGGTTGTCCCCTCTTAAATCACACAATGCAGAGAGACAAACACTGAAGGGAAGAAAAACAAGAATGCTGAGTTAGGGACAGTGAATTGATCTGAGTCAGCACCTTTTGTCCCACAGAGGTACTACTGTCCACTAAAGTAATATTTTATCAGCCTTTTATGCAGATTGTATTCCTTGCAAGATTAAATGCGGGGAGGAGTAGGGTTGAATAGTAATGTCTTGCCTTAAAGCAGTAAAGCTACTAATTCAAGGTTGGGTACTCTTGGAGCACCTGAGCAGACAAATGTACATTCAGTGTGAATGAGACTGAAATGCAGAAAGGAATGTCAAGATTGGCTCTTCCGCCAAATAATACTAAGCACACTAGCAAAGCCTCAGCAAAGTCAGTCCCAAGAATTTTGTGAATTACAGTCCACAAGCCAATAAAGCAAAAGTGTTCATTCTTAACCCACTTCAAATGATATGTTTGCCTGCTTCCAGTGAAAGTTAGAGATCTAACCATGATAGCTGTTACACACCTCAAACATTTCATATAATATTTGCAGTTAATACAAGTTGAATGTGGCTATGTGAACTTCCTCAAGGCAAAAAAGATTTAATAAAGACAGAATATGAAACTCTTCTCTAGAATTCTCTTTGTTAATGGCTCCGCTGTCCAGTTGACAGATTAGGAGCTTTACAGCACAAAAGCAGCCAGCAACATTCTATTAAAGTACGTTCAGAGACTGTAATTGGTAGAAATGATAAGTGAAAAATACCAAGTTGCAGAAATACCAAAGCCACTATGGGATACTATCCAGTGTAATTTATTAAGGAGCATTTATATCCCACCTTTTCACTGGTACAGTAGTGCTCAAGGGCACTTACATCATTAAAAAAACAATACTGAGTAAAACAGTGTAAACAATAATGACCGTAGCAGCTAAAAACCTATTTTAAAGTTGATCAATCATTAAGAACCCAGGCAGGCAGGCAGACATGCTCTTTAAAAGAAGCACTGACTAAGCGGCAGGGAGCCATTTGCTGTTATTATGCGCTAACAAGACGTCTCCAACTTACGGAAACCCTATGAATGCATGCCCTCCAAAATGGCCTATCTTCACATTTGGTTTTCCTCCTCCTCTTCTGCCTTCAACTAACCCTAGCCTTACTGTATTCTCCAGTGAGTCAGACCAATATGGTGCCTGTCCATGGAACACATCAAGAGCCTACTCTGAAGTCCTTCCAGCTCCGGTTAATAAGCTGTGCTATTTATTTAGAGAGCCAGTGTGATATAGGGGTTCAGAGCATGGGATCAGGACTCAGGTGATCTGGGTTCCAGTTCCTGCAAATCACCTGATGACTTTGAACCCATCAGGGACTCTCAGCCCAAACTACCTCACAAGATTAGTGTTGTAGGGATGAGACTGAGGACAGGAGAATGATATAAACTGCGTAGAGTTCTTTGTAAGAAAAAGGTAGCATATAACTCAAATAAAATATTTATCTAGAGCTGTTACAGTTGCACTGGGTTTCTAACCTCTGCTGGCATTGGTTGTTTTATCACTCTGCTACTTTAACCTACTACAATTTGTTATAACCTTTTCTTTTTGTTATCATCATCATTTATTTACCTATTTTATATGCCAGCAGAAGCAAGAAAAAAAATGGTAAGTTGGGAAATTTAAATAAATAAATGAACAAATCATTCCTGGCACATCCCTCAGGTTTCTATCAGACAGCTGTTAGGCACATGATGAACTCTTCACTTTATTCACATCAAAACAGTTTTGCCAACATTCTATACAATCCAGATACATAACCATTCTGCATAAAAGGGCCAAGTTTATCAAGTCCAGGACAGATACAGTAGTGTAAATATTTTTATGAACTAGCACACTCTGCAGGCCACAGAAGTATAGATGTGGGTAGAAATGCCGGCAACAACCTTCTCCTCTCATCTGATTTACAGGTTCGCCTGCTCAGACAATCATGGATGACCTGCCGTTTCTTATACAACCATATCATAAAGGCTGCTAGTGTCTCACAACAGAATCTTATCAGTGATGTAGAGCAAAAATTGTCCAGTTCTTTATCTTTCTGCAGAAAAGTTTCAGTTCATAAGCTTATTAGAAAGAACAGGTTCATACGCCTCGCCAATGGAAATACTTTATTAGGCAGCCTTGGCAGTTTAAAATTTCCTCCAATTATCTCTAACATGTATATGAGTGAATATGCATATGTTACTAAAATACATGTTCGCATTAGTGTAAACTGAAGGTACCTTAGCAATTCAGTGGAAATGAGTTCAGCACCACCGAAACAGATAAATGGTTCTCAGCACATCATTCACAGTTCCTTATCAACCTGTCAGTTTTCCGTACCTTCGCTTTTACTTAAATTTAAACATGGGCAGCCCCTCCAATGTGCCACTTCGGCAGTTTAAAGGGACATTTGCAGCTGTCAAAACAAGGCCCCCAAAACCTGGTTTTCAGATGCAAAAGGTGGTTTTTACCATCTCCCCCTCCAAAAGTAGTTTAAAGGGGGAAAAAAGTTGTGGCCAGCCCAAAATGGCAAAGTCCTCCCACACCCCCCACCCCTGTGGGCTACCTGCAGGAGGATTAAATGGGAAGGCAGGATGCACAACCCACAGTGAGCTAGCTCATCATCAAGCTCACTCTGCATGGTGTACAACAACCAACCCACCATGGCTTCCTGCCAGAATGAGCTAGCATGATATTCAAGCAGGTCCAGTGTAGTATTTAAATAGCACTGTGTCCCTTAATTTTTTCCTGTTGTATATTTCAAATCAACTACCTCTGCTGTAGTGAGACAAAAATTAATATGGGGTACATTTTTAGCTTTGTTTACCAAATAGAAGCAAACCTGCTAATGGAAGGAATGGCATAAGGACAGGTTCTATTTAGCAGCCAATACAGGCCTCTCACCCTCAGAAGCCTTGCCCGGTGACTACTGTCTTGCTTTCTCATTAAGAGTTAAAGCATTTTGCAGAATTTCCTTCTCTCACTCAGGATGTGCAAACAGGTTCTTTAACAAACACTGGTGCTGTAAGATGCACATTCAGGGATGTCATGCTGGTCAAACCTGGGTTACATGAGGTTTAAAGAATCCTAGAATAACTCATGCTCCTTGGGGTCACATGACAATCGCTCAAAGTAAGGGATTGGATATGCAGTGTGGTTCCCATGATAACATGGTTCATGGAGGTCTTAATACCCCAAAATGAACATTGGCATTTCATTTATTGATCCCTATGAATCAACTGTAATTTGCTACTTCTTTGGGGCTAGCAGCAGTTAGTAGCAGTAGCCTTCTTAAGCTTAAAAGATGAAAGAATCAGAAGAAGTGCATTCTAAATCTGGACAAAATTTTGCTGGTATGTCTTCTGTAGCTTAAAAAGAAGTACCAGTCTTTGTCAAAATATAACATAAAACGTTTCTGGAAAACAGGATTTAAAAATCGTAAGCTGAAGAAAACTAACTCTATTCATGTCAGAATGCAACACTGCTCACAATGTGAAGTTCTGGTCCCTTCTGGCACCCAGTCCCACCTACATTGTGATGCAATTATTGCCAAGCATGTCCTACGAGTCTGGGGTGGAGACCACACAATTTAATAGGAAGGGAGTGACAACCAGGTTAACAAGCTATTAATGTGTGATGGGTATCAATTTCTTATTTAAAAGATTGCTAACTATCTTGACTTTGAAAGAAATGAGATAAAGGAACCGAAAACTTTTGTTTGCTAAAGTTCTTCATTTGTTTCTTTGGAAGGGAGACGGTGCCTAGTATCAATACTGACAGTCTGGAAGAATTTAGACCTTGCAGAGATAGGAAGCAGAGCCATTGTGAGTCGAGAACAAATAATTGCTATGATATAAACACTACAAACATGACAAAGGCTCTACTGAGACCAAAGGCCTCCCTAGGGCAAAGCTCTGCTCTCAGGGTTGCCAACTGGATGCCAACTCCACTTGTGGTGTTCAGGAAGGCCATCACCTGCCTAACAAATGAGGGCCTGGAATTGTAGCCTGCACTCCAATGATCACACCTGTATGAATCCTGAGGTAAGACAGGGTTAGACATAATAATGGGGACACTGACAGCCAAAGATGAGGTGAGCTTTTATTACTGTGACTAAAAGGTCGAATTAGAAGATATTTTTAAGATGCAGACCCAAAATGCTGCTCTCCAAAGCTCAGCCTCATGTGGGTGTAGCACAACGGCATTCCAATGGTGCTCCAAGGAATTCTGGGGTGCTGGAAAGCCATCCACTCAGTATTTAACTTGTGTGTGTGAACTGCATTGACAACATCTCTTTGAAAGACTGTACATGAATATTCTGCTGATTAAGTTTAGTGTGAGGTACAAAGGATGGGGAAAGCAGGGATTGACTGTTGCTGGAAGCAAGAGGAGTCACTAAGGAATGTGGCAACTGAGCTCCTCAAAGTGGTTTGGTGGTCTTTTTGTCTTCTACTGAAACTAAGCTCTGAGCTAAGTATCAGAAATAAATCCGTATTCTTCCAGTTTAGTCTCACATCCAACTTTCATTTCTGCCCGGTCAACCAAATCTCTTGAACTTAAAATCGAAGGCTTCTTGGAGCAGGAAACTTTCTGTTTCTTCTGCCATGAAGCGCCATGCACATTCCAGGGTTTACTGCGCTCCTCAGAAAAACAGAGAAGGCGCAGGGGCAGATAGTGAGCAAGAGCTCATGAAGTGCAAATGGACTTCCACATGTGCTCCCAAAAACTACTCCAGGATCTGTTCTTAACCTTCTAGAGCAGGCTGGAGGAGTAACCAAGGCTACAAGAGAGTGGGAAGGGAAATCTGTTTTGCTGGTGGAAAGCCAGTGTAATGTGGTGCTGGACTGAGAACCTGGGAGATCCCGTTCAGCCATGAAGCTCCCTGGGTGACTTTGGGCCAGTCACTCCCTCTCAACCTCACAGGATTGATGCTGTGAGAATAAAATGCAATGGAAAACTATGCTGGGTTCCGCACTAGAGAAAAAACAAAAGGATATCAAAGCAACTTAACAGTGCTCTATCCCAGGACAGACCCTAACCAGATGTTGTCCTCAGGTTAACATTTACCCTTCCCTTCACCCCAATCTGCCCCTGTGAACTGAATTTCAAGCCTCAGGAAGAACGTTCTAGTTGGGGAGCAGACTACTCCAGGCAGGCTTTCTGGAACAACTGTTGCAACTTCCTATTTCTGTACAAAGGTTATCTTCTTCCAGAACTTCAGGACTGTACCTAGGAGCCCTCTCCCTTCCAAAGAAGCAAGCGAAGAACTTTAGCAAGCAGCAATTTAGGATTCCGTCATTTTATGCCTTTTAAACCCAGGACAGTTAGCAATCTTTAAAATAAAAAGCGGGTACTACTCTTCACACATCAATAATTCGTCCGCCTGGTCGTTATTCCTTCCCCTTTACCCTGCTAAGGACTGAACGGAGGAGCGCCTCCAGAACCACGACCGCCGGCCAGAGGAGCCTCCAGGTGCAGACGCAGCCTACCTGCGAGCAACGGCTGCCCCCCCCCCCGGCAAAGGGGCGCCCAGGCGGGCTCCCCGGGCGCGGGCGGCCGCCCAGGGCTGGGGTCCCGCTCCCCGCCGCCTCACCTGCTTGTAGCGCGCGTACAGGTAGAGCAGCTGCTCCTTGCTGGCCGCCGCCGCCAGCGCCGGCACGCGCTGAGCCGCCCGCTCGAACTGCTCGCCCAGGGCCGGCGGCGACGGGGACGAGCGGCTCTCCGAGTCGGACCCGGCGCCCGGCGAGTCGCCCAGCCCCGCCAGCAGCCCCGCGGCGCCGGCGGCCGGCCGGTCCTCCTCCCCCGAGCTGCGCTCTTCGCCTCGGCTCCCGCCGCGGCCCGCGCCCTTCGGCGGGCGCAGAGCGGCCATGCAGCCGGCCGGCCCGCCCGCCCGCCCCTCACGCCCGCCCCTGCCCCAGGCTCATCCCCCTCGGCCGCCGCCGCCGCCGCCGCCTCAGAGGGACCCGCGCCACTGCGCGCGCGGCAGCTCCCGCCCAAGCACGGAGCGCCGCGCCGCGCATGCGCGAGGAGAGACGAGCCCGCGCGGGAGGGCCAGAGCGTCGCACGGCCGCCCCTCCCCTGGCCCCGAGGCCGAGCTGGCGCGGGGACTCGCTTGGCGGCCGCGGCGCGGAACCTTGCTTGCTGAGCGCACGGGCATCCCTAGAGAGAGCGCTCGAGCTGCTCTAGCGCTTCCCGCGGGAAGAGAGGGGAGAGGCGGCCTGAAGAGCTGTCGGGAGGCCTTCCTCTCGTCGATCCCCGAGCGGTCCCACGAGTGAAGTGGCTCGGGTGGGAACTGCAGGGCGAGCCAGAATGGTTCCGAGGCACTAGAAGAGGCTCTTTTCTTTTTGCCCATCCACCCACCCAGGCGGCGGCTGCTGCCTCCTTCCCTCCCTCCCTGCCTGCCACGACGCTCCTGCTATTGTTGCTGTGCGCCCTCAAGTCATGTCCAGCTTATGGCAACCCCATGAATGAAAGCCCTCCAAAATGTCCTGTCTATGACAGCCCTGCTTAGCAGTTCTAAATTCCAGGCTGTGGCTTCCTTCGTGAAGTCGGTCAATCTCCTAGCTGGTCTCCCTCTTTTTTTTCTGCCTCCAACTTTCCCTGGCGTGACTGTCTTCTCCAGGGAGTCTGGCCTTCTCATGATGTGACCAAAGTATGACAGCCTCAATTTTGTCATTTTTGCTTCCAAGGAAAGCTCTGATTGGGTTTGATCCAGGAACCACTTGTTGGCCTTTCTCTTTGTCCAGGGTGTTTGCCGAGCTGGAGCCATGCAAAAGCCAGAGGCAGGAGTCGCTGTGGCTTCTGGTTTTAGACACTATGTTTACCTGCCCAGCAAAACAATCACAAAGCATATCGGTCATGTGTGATGTTCTTGGTCCAAGTCCACCAAACTAGTATTTATGCACAAGGGTTGCACATCTGTATCTTCATCCTTATTTATTCTTCTGGATGGGAAGCTGCCTTGCACTTTTAACAGTTTGGCACTGGACAGAAATTCAGTAAATGCAACACTTGGCAGTTTGCAATGGAGGGAGGTGGGATTTGGAGTGCCCCTTTGAACTATTCTAATGAAAAGCTCCCCTCGCCTTCAAAATACAGTAAAAGAAAATATAACAATAACATACCATAACATCCCAGCAGAAAAAAAGATTACTGTGAGAAAATGTTTTCTGCATTTTAGTGTTTCTGGGAAAACTCCTTTATATGATTTAATTCTCCCCTGTGTAGATTATTGGTCTTTCCCAATTTTATATAGATGCAGTGGATGGCTTTTACCATCATCAGGCACTCTGGCAAGCACTTTGCTCCCGATTGACCCTGGTTCACAAGCCTGGTGTTTTCCACTATTTTGCAATCAAAATGCAGGCTGTAATTAATACATTTTTACTCGTAAGTATTAATGCCCATTTTTGTACAGTGTCCAAACAGTCCTAGTGATAATCAAGTTTCAGCAGTATAATTTTTTCCATCAGCTCTTTGATGTTTATAAAATTGAGCTTCCACAAAGTCTACCTGTAATGACATATTGAACATGTAGGAACTGTATTTTATTGCTTACATTCTGAACAACAGGAATGCATAATGTTTTTCTCTTACTTTGTAGTTTGGGGATGCATATGCATAAACATATGCATTGTTTACTTTTTAAAAACCCTAACATTTAATATTTGTTGCATCTATGCATAACTTTTCACCAATTTTCCTGTGCTTCTGGCTGTCAACCCAAAGCAGAAAATCAAAACCACTTGTATTAATGGGTTTTTCAGGGGAAGGTAGCTGGACTTCAAGTTTAGCACTAAAATCACAAATAAAGAACAAGGGCAAACACACAGAGACATACCAGATTAATATGGGGAGGAGAGAATTGCTGCTTTTCATTTTTCATTGTTATTTTATATGGCATTTTTAAGCTTTGTGAACTGCCATAAAGTCAAGAATGCCAGACTGGGCAGAGATACTGGTTCTAGTCCTCATGCAGCCCTGAAACCCTTTGGAGACTTCAGGCAAGTCACAGACTCGGCCTAGGCTTCTCAGTCACACGTTCTATCATCAAAAGGATTTGAGGATCTTCTGCCTCCACTTCAAAACCGATGTCCTTCAAAGAAGCACTTTATAAAAAGAAATGGCGCTGTGATGCAGGGCAGTGGAAGGGGGTTCTACAGGTGTTTTGTTTTTGAAGATTTTGAGCATTTTCACTCAATACAGAGCAGGGTTTTCATTTTAAAGTAGGGAGAAAATATATTTTGAGCTCAATAGAAGCTTTGCATGGCCTTGGTAAGAAAGGAATTTTGTCTCTTGCCATCAGCAGCGTCAGACGCCTCAGTGGACATAACAGTAATACAGTGACATATACATCAATCTCCCACCCAAGGGCTTGGTTCCCTGCAGAAATGATATTGCCTGAAAGAATGCCTTGTCTGTTCTACAACAGGTTAATTTCAAGTGCAGCCTCTATCACAGCCTCGCAACTCATCTCACTGAAAGAAACAATTTCCACAAGCCCTTAGAAGCTGTGTATTTCTCATTGCTCTCCAGATTACTCTTGGGCATTAACCAAACTTAACTTTGTACATTTTCCTCCTTAAAAAAATCCCCTGTAATATATTGTCATGCAAACTTTGGGTGGCTTCACACAACACACAAAGCCAGTCTTACCATTTTTGATCTGTTGTGCCATCTGGCATGGAGTATAGAATCTTGTTGCCCGGTCCTGTTCTTACAGTATCGCGAGGGTGTCTGAATTGTGCTTGATGCCTGGTCGTCTGCCAGTTATTTGACTCTCAGCTGTACTTCAGAGCTCCCTTCCCACTGTGATGCTTGCTAAGGTTTAAAGTACAGCTCCGAAGCGTCCTGGGCATTCGTCATGTTGGCTGGAGCTGATGGGAGCTGGAGCGTGCCAAAGGCGGGCAAGGCTGCTGCAGGGAGAGATGGCTCATTTTTTCTTCTTCATGTTTACTATTTCTATAACACTTCTTTGCAAGTAGGAGGCAACCCCCTCAGAAACAACTGTGGCACCATCAGGATTATTATTGAGTTGATGAGCACTCTTCCACGCAGCGGTAGACTGAGAAAGGTGAATAATATATGTACAGATCAGCTGATGTACAGGGAAGGATGAATGGCACGAACAAGATAATGGAAAAGGACAGCCAGATCACTGAAGTGCAAATGCATTGCACATCCCCAGATTTGCTGGCACAGAAAACATAAAACCCCTTACAATAGCCTGAGCAATGAAAGTACACGAGGTGCACCATCAATCAAAAAACAATTATGGGGGTAGGACCACTTATCATGCTTGCTCCAGCCCTGACAAGAAGGTCTGTGGATGAGTGTCAGATCTGCAGCCTCTTCATCAGCTGTGCCCTGAAGCGCTTTGGTTTTCCGTGTTATTATAGACCCCAAATTAGCTGGTGCACAAATAGCGACCTGGTGCCCTGCAGATCTTTGGACTGCAACTCCCACCAGCTTTTATTTATCATGTTTCTGCACCACCCAGTAATTGAAGATCTCTAAGCATGACACAAAACAAGACTTAAAAACCACAGAACACAATGGCATAAGAAAGTTTAATTTAAAAAAAAAACTTGAATGTGTAAAGCAGGGCCAGTGGTCCTGGACTGTGCAGGTCTGGAGAATACCAGGCAGCCTGCCTCAACAGAAAATCCAGGGAGACTGCAAAGCTTCCCATCCGTCTCCATATGCTCCCATGCATTTTTGCAGGTTCATACTTTTCCATAAGGATTTGCCAGGTGCCACGAGGCTGAATCCGGAGCCCTTCTGCCCAGGCAAGGTGGCCTGTTCCCTAAAGAAGAGAGCAGAGAGCAACTGGAACATGAGCGCTGCAGCCTTTCCGGACCTGGAAAGCAGAGAATCCTACAGAATGAATCCCAAGCCACCATCAGCCTCAAAGCGGCTGCATTCTATTGTGAACCTTCTCTGTGATGGTTCATAGAAATAAGGAGTGCATTCTCACCAACAGGGGGCTGATGGTGAACAAATGATTTCACCATCCTTTCTGTATTCATTTCCACCCACCTCCAGGTAGGGGAGAGGCGGCGCCACTGCCATCCCTTCCTTTAGTCGAGGGAAACAAAGGCATGGACAGAGCAGCAGGGTTAGAACACGTGCAGAGTGCTTTTCTGTCAGCACTGAAGCATTACAAGCTCTGTATACCCGGCATTTGGAAATCATAACCAACAGTCTTGACTCTCCCATCAAACAAAGGAAGCCGTGGGGACAGTTCCTGTTTCTCTGGACAATGCAACGTTGCCAATGAACCAGGAAACACAAACAGCCCTTTTGGGGTTTCCCGAAGGCGAAAGCTGAGCAGTTCAGTATCGCCTTTGGTGCAACGGATGTTGCGAAAGCAATTTCAGACAAAACAAAAGGAGCAGGGGAACGAGGGGCACAACGCGCCCGGAGCAGAGCGCCGCCAAGGCCCTTGCGCAAAATGAGGAAGAGGTTCCCCGCCTTCACCTTTATGACCGATGCTCCGAACAGCCCGGCTTCTCGGCAGAAAACGCAGAGGGAAACAAAGCCACCTTTTGCTGGAATGAAGTCAGGCTGCGAAACCATGTGCCACCGCATGAGGGCAGCCAACGCTTTCTGTAGGTCGCCTTGTATGTTCTGTCTATGGAACGCGGCTCCTCGCTCGCCCTTTCCCTTTAGGATCAAGCTACGTATGACTGGAGGCCTGTGATCGCATTGACGTCCCGGGGTTCTTATTTTTGCTTAAAGCAACCCGGAGGAGCCTGTCTGAGTCGGAATAGAACAAGGGGGCTGCGGGACAGGAGAGCCAACGCTTCCGGAGCAGGAAAAAAGCAGATGATATTCATGCACAGGGCAAAAAAAGGAGGGAAGAGGCGA